GGGTGACTTTGTGCTGTGGGAGGGGTGGAAAGCTACCTTCCCTTCAGACAGGAGCAAAGTACAGAAAATTTTGTGTGTGACCTAAGCGCTGCTGGGTGGACTGTCAAGGCTGAAGGCTGGAGCAAGGCTTGCCCTGTGAAAGGTTTCTCCTGGCTGCAGCCCTGCAGGCGCTGGGCCCCTGAAGAGCCACCTGAGCTGGAGTTTTAGCATGGTTATGGTGGACACAGCACCCTCTGCTCACGTCATGTTGAAATCAGTGTGGCTTTTTATGGTGGGTTTTCCTTTCACTTTTGTTTTGAGAATGCCAGGAAAACAAAAAATCCCCCACTGGGTTTTCCAACTCCCCCTGAAATTGCGAGCTCTTCATTTAAAATCCTTTTTGTTATTAGTTTGAATCTCACCTGACAGTCTGAATTTGCATCCGTGTGTTTTGTTACATTGGATTTGTTCCAGTGCACCGCAACGGGTTTCACCCTGCAAAATGCAGCAGTTCACTGAAACAGGGGGCTTTTAGAGCAAGTCTTTCAAACCAGTGAAATAAAACCATGGCAGAGCAAGATGCTGTGGCCATCATAAAGCAGTGTTTGGTACAAACACAAATCTCTGCAGCAGTTCCCTCATTACCGGTGGGAGGAAGGCACTGCTGCGTGTCTGGGTTATACATGTAGATGCAAGCTGGGATCAAGGGGAGCACTTTGGTGCTTAAGCACATGCTTAAACTTTCTGCTGGCCTCCATCCTCCAGGCTGTTGTGTGAGGGCGTCTTGGACCCAGAAACGCCACTGTGATACCCCAAGAGCTGCCGGGAGTATGGGGGTCCCTCTTGCGCCCAGCAGCCTGGGGCAGAGAGCCCCTGAGGCCGAAATTCAGGGTTTTCACTAAGTCCTGGGAGCTCCCACCCGGTGGGAGATGGGTGCTGCGATGGCACGGGTGCTTCTTCGCAGTGCTACAGAAATGCACAACGGCCCCAAATTCCCTCCTTTCCTTCCTTGTTGTCTGCAGTAATGTTTACAGCACATGAGGAATTAGAAATGCCCTGGATCTGGTATTTCCCCCATATTGTCTGCCAAAATTATGTCCCACGTAATGTATAATGAATAGGTGATTGAAAAAAAGAAAAAAAAGAAAGAAACTATGGGGCTTGTCTAAGTCCCTGCCTGCATGCATGCATATTCTAAACGTATATTGAGCGGTAATAGCATTGCAAAAGTGGGAGGAGTAGTTTTTGCCACTACTTTGTCATTTACATTGCACCTTTGTCCCTATGTGAACATTTTCTTCGTCTCTTTCCTAAGCCTGGAAACACCACCTAAGCCTCGGCTAAGCCTTGAAACACTTTTTGAGCCTTGAAAAGTCTCGAAGCGCCGCAGATTGAGCGTAGGAGGAAGCAGTTTGTCTCTCACTGATGACCCAAGAGCATCCTCTAGTGTATATTTAAGGTAATACTTACACGTCGCTTGACTGGTTACCTTAGGAAAAATAATACTGTCGGAGCAAAGGAGCAAAAACCCTCCACGAAGTTCACGGTAAAAGGCAGCACAAGATGCTAGCTACGGAAGCAAATGCCAACACAGGCAGTGAGTGCTTGCCCCCATTCAAGGCTGGATTCAGGAGGAGTCAGCACTGAAAACCCTGCGGGCCGAGCCTTTCTGCGGGACAGCTGGGTAGCTCTCATCGATAACAATCTGAGCATAGTTAGAGCCAACCATTCCATAATATTAAATGTTTTGAAGTGTCTGGGTATATTAAAAATGGAAGACTTGCTGCAGACAAACATCTTAAAATGAAATGAGATGCGTATTACGTGCTTATAGATTACAGTAATGTCTGTAAGGGGTGTGTTTTGACTATAAATGTATTTTGCTAATTAGAATAGGTAAGGGAAACCACCTTTGAGGTTGTGGGATTTTTTTCTTTTGCCATGAAAACCTACTTTATATTTTTGGTAACAGTAAGCAATTTTCCCGCACTGGGACATTTTGATTTTCACTGCACTGTGAAAAATGGTGCATAATGAAGAGTGCAGCTAAAGATTTTACAACAGCCATTACATGGCTATTATGTGCATTTATGCTATTATGGTATTATATGACACAAATCTAGTCCCACTGTGCCTTATTTTTGCTCCTGTAAGATGGAAAAAAGGCTAATTTCCCTGCCTCTGAAGGGAACAAACCTACCATCCTAAGTGCGCAGCTAAAAGACCATGAGGCGCTGTATGAATATTACAGGTGGGTGGACACATGGCCAATGGCAACATACTACCCTCCAATGTCTGGACAGGAGAACTGATGCCATACTTTCCTTCCCCACTCGACTGCTCCTTACTGTTTTGGCTTTCCTCAGCTAGCAAACTACCCCTTTCCAATAAAGTCACAGCACCAACACAGCGTCCTCTTGCCACCTCATTTTGCAGAAAGTCTACTGCAAGCCTGACTCTGTGCATGCGCATGTGCATGTTCATAGAATAGATCACAGAATCATAGAATGGTTTGGGTTGGAAGGGACCTTAAAGATCATCCAGTCCCAACCCCCCTGCCATGGGCAGGGACAACTTCCACTAGACCATGTTGCTCAAAGCTTCTTCATCCAGCCTGGCCTTGAACACTTCCAGGGAGGCGACACACACACACAGCTTCTCTGGGCAATCTGTTCCAGGCCCTCAGCACCCCCATTATAGACAATTTATTCCTAATATCTAATCTAAATCTACCATCTTTCAGTTTGAAACTGTTCCCCCTTCTCTGGGCATGAGAAGGTTTGTACTGGGAAACCAGCAGTGGTCTGTGCAGAGGGGTCTGTAGCCTGTGGGCATGTTCCCACATATACAAGCCTGCTACACCTTTGGGACCTTTACCCTCAAAAAGTTTCCACCTCTCAAACACGCCAGCCCTGGTACTGACTGCAGTGTGCTGGAAAAGAAAGACAAAAGAGGATAACGATAAAAAAAAATCAAAAAAGGGAGGAAGTAAATTGGGGGAGAAAAGGAGAGGAAAAGAGGTGAAGAAAAGAAGAGCAGTGAAATGGGAGAAGAGTAAATGGAGAAAGGAAGGAGCAAGGAGAGCAGGCGACAGGGGAGGAGAAGACAAGTACCAGTGCAGCATTTCTTTGTCTTCACAGCAGACATGAAGATAATACAGGTGGCTTCTCCCCTCAGTACGTCTGAGAGGAAAATGGATAGAAAGCCCCATGATACTCGTGGCAGACGGTAAGAAGTTTGATATTGACTTCAGCTGCAGTGGTTTGATCAGGGTGGCTACGGTGCCGGGAAACCTCCTCTTTCTCCTCTTCTGCCAAGTGTGTATGTACAAAGCTGGGCTTCTCCAGAAGCCCTTGACTGCAAGGAAGCATTCAGAAGACTGGTGACCTTTGTCTTCTTCTAGCTCTGGAACAGGGAATACACATCATCTTTTCTCAGTCTGTTTCTTCGTACCTGCCTGTGAGTCTTCAATAACCACTGGAGAATGCTCTGACGTGAGAGGATTGTCATGGAGTGAGAGTCACTGAGTGAAGGAGGATCTGGGCTGAGCCCAAGCATTGCCGTTGCCTCCTTCCCACCCCAGGGGTCTGGACACTGGGCTAGCCTGACAGTCTTCATCCCAGTCATGAAGACTGAGCACTCTGCAAGTGCTGGCAGCTGCTGTAGGTACAACATCCTCATCCGAGGGCTGATGCTGGCACCTCACACCTGCTGCTTAACCAGAGTGATCACCTGTCTAGAGAGCTGGGGAGGTAAACAGGGACAGTCTATCTGATGAGCCAGCCACTGTTATCCCCGTGCACTGGGGGATCCTGAACACGTCCCACCCAGATGCAAGTTAGTACAACAGTCGTAGGTGCGAGCTAATCAAAGCAAATCGCTGGTGAGGGCAGCTCTTCTCGCACGCTCCTCAAGACCTTGGGCCAGCTGGACTGACAGACCTATTCAACGCTGCTCACTCATCCAGAAGGAGCTGAAGAAGCGGACGTAAGGCCTCGTCACCGTAGTTGTCAGTTGTGGGAAACCACCAGATCCAGCTCTCCAGCAGCACCACTTCTCCACAACGCATAAATGGGCCAGAGGAGTTCTGCTGGCCCCATTCGAGCTTCCCTTGGGTCTGCCCCACTGCCACCTGATCTGTAGCTTGCAGTTGCAGCAGCAGGAGGATCTCTTAGGGCGCAGGAGTCTGTGAGTGCGTTGGGGTGTAGTTTCCTGGCAAGGACTTGCAGCAGAACCTGGGTGTCACGGCTCTGTGGGCACTTGTGCCGGGGTGCAGCGAGGGCCGGCAGGTCCCTCAGGTCCCGGGAGTCAGGAGCAGAGTGTGCTGGCACCAAGGCCTGTGCCACCCCCATGCCCAGGGAGCGGGGCCAGCCTGGAGACCCTCGGCCGGGGACCGTG